GCTGCTTCGCGTCTGCGTCATGCGCATACGCGGTCTTCACCTCGTCCAACAAGGACGACAACTGTGTGTATGTCCGAGCGACGTCAATCCGGTTGACGTCGGCTGTCTTGACAGCGTAATCCGGTCGTCCCGACAATGCGTCGGCGACGACATTCAACCTTCCGGGTTTGTACTCGACTCGGAAGTTGAACTCCACGAAGAAGGACAACCATCTCGCTATTCGTTGCGAGATGTGCGGAGACTTCCCAGCCGTCCGCAACGACGCGTGGTCCGTATAGACCACGAATGGCGTGTTGCTGAGTAAGTACACTCGGAACTTCGCGAGTGCATACTTCATAGCAAGGAGTTCCTTGTCATGCACAGGGTAGTTACGCTCAGCTGGCTTCAGCTGACCCGACTGGTAGTAGACGACTCGATCACGGCCCTCGTGATCGAGTTGCATTAACGGACATCCGATCGCAAAATCGGATGCGTCACACACTACGAGAAAGGGACGATCTTGGTCAGTCACAGCCAAGATCGGCGCTTTAGTCAAGCCCAGCTTGACTGCATCGAACGCCTGCTGACACTCAGCAGTCCATGTCCACGCAGCTTCCTTCTTCAGGAGCTGCGACAGCGGGCGAATCTTGCCCGCGTAGTTGTCCACGTACTTGCACAAGTACGTGGCAAGCCCAAGGAACTGCCGCAGTTCCTTCACGTTGGATGGCGTAGGCCATTCGTTGATCACTCTGACCTTCTCGGGGTCAGGTCTTACGCCATTCTTTCCAACGAAACACCCCAGCACGGGTATCTCGCTCGCACCGAAGATGCACTTCTTCAGGTTTGCATAGAGCTTGTGCTTGCGCATGAGCCCAAGCAATTCCCGTAGATGCTCCTTGTGCATCTCGACGTCCGTCTTCTCGTTCACAGCCGGGCTGTGAACGTACACATCGTCGAAATAGCTCGGTGCGAAGTCGCGCACCGAGCGCAATAGATGCGTGGCGCATCTATTGAATGTCGCAGGGAGGTTCTTCAGTCCTTGCGGCATAACTAGCCACCCCCAAAGCATACTGCTTGGGGTGCTTACCGCCGTGAGAGGGATATTGCTCTCACGCAACAGGATCTGATAGAACCCGTCTCTCAGATCAAGAGCACTGTAGATGGTGCTCTTGGACATCGAATCGATGATGACATCTTTTCTAGGTATCGGCGTTTGCGCCGGTATCGTTGCATCGTTCACCTTATTGTACGCATGAACGATGCGCCAACCACCCTGTGGTTTCTTGACACAGAACGTTGGTGCGCTGTGCGGGACTTTGATTCCCGCTCTTGTCCTGCATTGCGACGACTTCGAAGAAGTCGTTGATTGCCTTCACTTGCTCCCGCGGCAGTGGCCACTGCCGGGTCACGCAGTACTTCGTCCCCGGCACGAGATCAATCTCGTGCTGTATTCCTTTGACCTGCAGAAGCTCCGCAGGGATCTCGTCCGGGAGCACGTCCCTGTGCTCTCGCAGAATCTCATAATAAGGACTCGACTTCAGTGAGTCCCAGCTCTGCTCCTTGAAGCGCTCCTTCTTCGTCTTGGCACTGAGAGTATCCTCACTCTCAGTGGCGCTTCCAGCGAAAAGTTACCTCAACTCTTCTGTTTCGCTTGTCATTCTTTCGCGGTCCGAAAGAATGCATAACCGTTCGATGCGTCCATCGTACAGGTCTTTTGCGAAGCGCTTCCAGCTCATGACTGGAAGCGAGGTCAACTCCGACGCATCTGTCGGAGGGTTCTCCAACTCCATCTTCTCGTACTGATATCCAGTACTGGCCCGCGTCAAGACGTTCAGAGTCTCGACAACCATTGTTGCCATTTGTGTCTGCCCGGCAGACATACCATGAAGGGTCTCGGTCCCTCACCGAGACTTGCGCAGCCTGTTGTGCTTGCGCCGTCGCTTCTTCTTGTGAATCCCTGATTCACTTGCGTTTCGTCCAGGCCCGGCCATGGACGAACGTTCCTTGATACCGCCGGCAGACAATCTAGTCTGCGGGCGACCGCCGGCGGGTTCTTGTACCCGCGGGCACGCGTCATCAAGCCCGGCTTGATCGCGCCCTGCTTCGTGCAGCCCGGCTGCACGACAGCACGCAAGTTTCAGTGCTGGACGTTTGCAACCGTCCGCACAACTTGTCGCATCGACTCCCGGAGTCGATGCTTTGTCGTCACCTCTACGCCTTTCGGCAGAGCGGTGTGTCGCAACTCCCAGAGCTGACACACCATTGTCACCTCGACGCCTCACGGCGGAGAACTTTCTCGATTCTGAATTCGAGCGCGTGTCAACTCCCAGAGTCGATACGCTGGTGTCACCTCGACGCCTTATGGCGGAGAACTTTCTAGAAGTGTCTGGTCCCTGATCAGACAC